CAGCACAGTCTGGGTTTGAATGCGGCACCAAGGTGACAGGCAGGTCAGGGCCACTCCTCGCCCCAATTTTTTCTCCTGCGATATGGGGACATAAGAACCATTTGTTAGCCAGGTGTGGTGGGGCGCACCTGTAATCCCAGCACTCAGGAGGCTGAGGCAGCAGGGTCACAAATTCAAGCCAGCCTGGGCCACTTAGCAAGACCCTCGCTCAAAATATGAAGTTAGAAAAGGGCTGGGGACTTAGCTTAGAGCAAAGTCCCTGGCTTCAATCCCCAGCACTCAAGGGGGAAAAAAACCCCAGCATCACGACAAGGGGAGATAAAGATGTGAAAAGCAATAAATAATGTATTTTATTAGTAGTATTACTAATGAAAGAAACAATGCAAACCAGACCGGGTCAGACTCATTGTGCCCTGAATTCCCTCACTAATCAGTCACAAGTGCCCCTCTGGGTTTCTTTTTTTTTCTTCTTTTTTTTAGTACCAGGGATGGAACTCAGGACCTTGCACTTGCAAGGCATGTGTGACACCACTGAGCTAAATCCCCGGCCCTCCTCTGGGTTTCTCTATAAGCTGAAGTCCCTGAGCACATTGCTTACATTTAAACTCCAGAGTCCTAGAGTAGGGGTGGTCCCTAACTTGTTTCTCATCCTGAACCCCCCTGACAGGTAACCCAACCCCATGCCCAAGGACTCCTTGATCCCAGGGGTGGCCTGTAGTAACCCTGGCCACATGCAGGACTCTGAGGGGTTTTTGTGTTTGTTTGGGGTTTTCTGGTACCAGGGATCAAACTTGGGTCCTTGCACTAGTGCTAGCGAGGCAGGCACAGGCCCTGGAACCACTGAGCTAAATCTCCGGCACTGTTTTTTTTTTGGGGGGGGGGTTGGCGATAGAGTCTCACTATATAGTTCAGACTGGTCCTGAACTCACTATGTAGCCCAAACTGGCCTTGAATTCACAGTGATCCTCCTGCCTCAGCCTCCTGAGTGCTAGGATTATAGGTGTGCCACCATACCTGGCTCTGTTTGTCTTTATTTATTTATTTGAGAGAGGGTCTCTGCTATGTGCTTCAGATTAACCTTGAACTCACTGTGTAGCCCTAGAGAACTCGGGTGATCCTCCTGCCTCAGCTTCCTGGATTATAGGTGTGCACCACCATGCCCTAGGCTCAGAAAACTTGGTCTCAATCCCAGTCCAACCTATCAACCAGAATTTTAGATAGATAGAAGGAAAATTCATGTCCCTGGGCAGATCTGATCTGCCCTAGTTGCCAACCCTCGCCTGCCCCAGGGATCCCCTGGGGGTGGGGCAGAGAGGGCTAGAGTTAGAGAACAGTGAGGGACAACACAGATCACCCAGTGCTCAAAGGTCACTTTGAGGATGACAGGATTTTCTGCTTGACCTGCTGAGGTGCAGGGAGGGTGGGGGAAGGGGAGCTGTCTCCACCCAGGGGCAGGGGTGACCCGACACTACAAGAGCTACTAGGGCCAGGGAAGAGTTAGCTGCTGCTGCATGGCACCTCGTCCCAGCTGCAGGGAACCTCAGGGACTCTGCAGCAAGAGCCACCATGGGCTGCAGGGAGTGCTGTTCAGGCGGGTGGGGCCAGTGTGGTATTTAGGGCCCTTCTAGCCCTGATAATCAGAGTCTGGGGATGGGTTTGCAGCCAGAAGGGGCTGTGATGGGAGGCTCAGGGTTTTTACCTCTCAGATTGGTCCAGCAGCCAGCTGAAGTGCGGCCAGGCACCCCACACCATGACAGCCCGCATGGGGAAGGTGACCTTCTGTGGTACGGCTCCCACCAGCACATGCATTTCCTCCAACATGGCCTTGGTGTAAGGCCTGGTGTGCAGTGGGGCTAAGTAAAGGGTGGTCCAGCCCACGGACCGGGTGGTCCTGGGGTACTTCTCCTGCACCAGCGCCAGGAACCTGCAGAGCAACAGATGCTGGCTCACAGAGCCCCACTGGCCCCTCCCTCCCTCTTGGGGGTTCAGTGGGAGGAAGGGGCAGGGTCCCTGGGGTCTGTGATATAAGGGTGGCAGCAAAGCCTACA